AAATCGTGGTGGTGACTAAGGGGCTGGTTTGCCCCGATTACCATGGTCCGACCTGTCCATCTGCGTCAAGGGAGGCTCCTGTGGGCCCTGGAGCGGCTGTCAGCACCACGGCCACAAAACCAAACTCTCAACCACAGGGAACTCCAAGCAAAGGGTGTGTGTGGTGGGGAGGGGGGCGGGGGGGGGGGCACACACGTAAAAATAGCCTTTATGAATCTTTGTTTCTCAACCAATAAATGGAATGGTTTAGGGACTCTGATCACTGGGGAACTGCTGCAAGCAAACCAAAAATTAAATAAGCTATGAAGAAAAGGCAACCAAACAATCACGATTCTCTGACTGCCATAAGGTTTAGAAACAAAAGCAACAAAACGCCTGAGAAAAGCATCCCAAAGCGCGTGAGGGATTAGTTAGGCAGGAGGAAAGAAAAAGGCGGTACATAGAGGTCGTTAAGACAAAAAGACTTGAAAGAGAGAACAATTAGATCAAACGAAAGCAAGGGTGGATTTGAAATTAGAGGCGTACCCCATTAAAACGCATGGCCCAAATGTCAAATCATAAGGTCACCACGTTCACTTCCTCCTCCCCCCATCACATATTGGATCTTCGATTTTAACAGCGGGGGGTAAGATGGACATTTTAGAGACACAATTAATTGCATCAGCAGAAGCAAAACCCATCGGATGCAAATGGGTTTTGGGGACAGGAAAAGGCTGCTAAAATTCAAGTCATTCCCCAGAAGCCATGGATAGCCTTAGAAGACCAAGGAAAATCAACCAGTGTCAACAGTGCCAAAGCCAGAGGTTCGGCCCCTCCAAAATACCACTGGGATGCCTGGACCCGCCAGCTCTCCTCTTGTCACCGCCTGCCCGGCTGCTGCAACACCTCCCTTCCTTGGGACACAATACAGAGACAGTGAGTCGCCTGAGGCTCCTTGTGCTGCCACAGAGCAGCTCCGGGCTGATTCCTACAGCCCTGCATACAGGAGACGGCAGTTTCTCGAAGAAAGAGGCACAGAACCCATTCTTCTTGCAGGGTGAGGACACACTGCTGAAGTCCCCAGTCCCCGCCACATGCCCAGCCCTGCCTTAGATGCTGTGTGTTCCCCTTATGCTGCTCACTCGCGGCCTCCAAGGACACCGTTTCCTCGGACTCCATGCTCTGACTTCCTACTTGAATCCTTGTCTTTTTTCTCAGTCTGGCTGGCGGCCCTCATTGTGTTGGGAAGAGGGAGTAAACAGGTTAGAGTAGTAACACTGACAAGGGCTTTTGTCACTTGTTTTATTTGGGAAGGAACTTGCATTTCCCAATAAAACCTCTAATCCTTTATTATTTTTATTTGTTCCTCCTCCCCCAGCCTCTGACACGGATACAAAATCTGAATCGATCAAAGATAACCTTTAAACTGAATGAATCCTTTATGATGTGAGGTCTTCTGTGTTGGTGAACTATAATACAGGTGGTTAACGTGCAGATTTTTTGTTCTGAAAACATGGCACGTGCATGCACACACCCTTCAGGTAGCTGCAGGTGGGCGTCGGAGGGCTTTGTAAGGGCGACAGCCACGCCGCTCACTGGCTCTCTGATCCGACCCTGACGTGCTTTCTGCCTGGAACAGATGAGCTTGGTGAAGGGTTCTGACTGCTGTGCTCTTCTGGGAGGGTCCTTCATACCTGGTCCTGACTGGAAAACTGGATGCTTGGGATCTTGTTGCTGCACCAGAGGTACCTGGCACACCCCCTCCCCCAGTCTCCAATGATGCCCTGGGTGCCCCTGCAGAATGCACTGGCGGGGACCTGAAGGACAACTGGGACTCTGTCAGTCTGTCCATCCATGTGGTCAGATGTGTACACACCGGCTCACACCAGCTCATGCATTTCAGTCAATCTGCAGGGTGCTCTCCCTCCCCCACCCACAAGGAAGGGCAGGCTGATAATGTGCCGGGGACAGCAGACACTTTTCTCTCTGAAGACCATTGTAGCACCCAGTCCTTAAAAGCACCCGTGAAGACGGTAGGGTGCCACTAGCTGCACCCGGTGATTTCTACAGGGAGTTGCCACGTAATGTAAAGGCTGCTTCAAAGGGGACTGCCGAGGACAGAAATGTTGGTCATACCCAAGCGATTGTTTTGCTCACGTGAGCACTTTCTTAAAAATATACATATATAGGTACAAATGCATCCCAAAATCTTGAAAAAAAAAGGACTCCATCTTTGCAACACACGGGGAGCCTTCCATATTACATTCTCTTCCCCTCTCTTCATGGGAAGTGGCCACCTTGAGTAAGCTCAAGTGCCCCTGGTCTTCCTTTTTCTTCACTTGGACATGTAGTGTGAAGCGGCTGTCATGCAGTCTGGATCTGCTTTGCAATTTCTATAAACTCATTAACCATCACACACACACACACACACACACACACACACACACACACATTCATTCTCCCTCAACACACCTCATACAACCTTTAATTCCAGCACCTGCCACCATATCAACAGTGGCACACAGGCCAGCCTTTTCTATTCAAGCAAAAACAAGTATATTGAAAATAAAAGCCACTGTTCATCCAGCTTAAAGGTGTGGCCTGAACTAAGCCCTAAGAATATCAGTTCCTTACTTTACCTGTTTGCCAGCTTCTAGTGATCTTGTTGCCTTTTGCTCAAGCAGTAACAGCATTGGGAGTGAGGGGGATGGAGGATGGGGGATGGTGGGATGAGGTGATGTGGGGATGGGGGTGGGGGGATGGGAAGAGGGCGTCTCAGCTACACGTCCATTTTTTTAAAAGGGCAAAATACAATGCTTTAGAATTCTCCCTAAAAGGCTAAAAGGGCGACGAAAAATACTTCACAGGCTTTTTCTGTCATTTCTTTAACTCTGGCCATGAATTTTTCTGGGGGAAAAAAAAAAGGCCTATGATGGATGAGTCCTTGTGTGGGAAGCTCCATAAAACCTTCATTTGCCCTACGCCAAATCATTAACATCAATAGTTTGGGGTTACTGTGGCTTTAACATATGTTTTTTGGGGGGAGTAGGGTTGATGGGAGGAGTTCCGAGCAGTTTCAGATACAATAGGGCAGGCAGCTTTCTTCTATTTAAAAAAAAAAAAAAGATACAAGTGATTTTAAACTGCACATGGTTATAAGATGACGTTCTTTAAGCCCTTACTTCCAGGCTGTACTTGGGCTCGGTACCCCTTTTTCTTGGCTTCTTAAGCATTTCTTCCATGGAGCCCTCATTTGGTCCTGCAGCCCCACAGGGTCCCCCATGCAGACCTCGGCCTGTAGGCCTGGGGCGGTTTCTAGCACAGAGATGGTGAACCACATCGCAAGGTCTTTTTCTGGGGTTTCCTACAGCTTATTTTTTGGTTCCTGTAAAATTTAAGACTTAAAAGCCTACTCTTCCCACTACACCAATCTGTCTACTCTCTGTCCCATTTAAAACGTTATGTGATTGCGCAGATGAACAATCTCAACAGCATCGTGCAGGGAGGACCAGAAACTCCTTCAAGTGGCCCCTGGAGAGTCTTTTGGAGAAACGGGAATTTTTTAGAATGCTGTTAAAATGTCAAAGGGGCAAATGCAACAGTCTCTTCGTTAGGTCCTTCGGATGCCAACAAAGCGGGAGCCCACGGCTTCTGTCCTCTTGTCCTTCCTTCCGTGGCAGACACCCACAGGTGCGGGAGCCCCCTGGCTGAGCTGCATCAAGGCCTCTGCTTGCCAGTCCTTTCCGCACCTCTTCCAGGCGTCAGTAGGCGGCGCAACCGGACAGCTCGTGGAACCTCAACGCACATGCGCGTGCTCCCTCAAGGGTTCCCTCCACGTTAGAGAAGCGCCTGCTCCTCAACAGCATCTGTGGGTGCCCCTAGGAGCTCGGGTTTTCAGGGATGAGGATGCCATAGAAAACGTGCTTCCAACAAGCGGATTTCGTTCAGGAAATTTTAAGCAGGGTTGACTCTCTACACTGTTTGGGGAGGAGTCAATGATCTCATTCTTCATTCATGTTTCCACTTCCGGAGACTGCAGTTGGCCTTTTTTTTTTTTTTTCTCTCTAGGTTAATAAATATACTGATGCAAGAGCACAGGGCTTCCTTAGCACCTCCAACTACAGGAGGGTGTGAGCAGACCATTTGCTCTGTCCATAACCACCAAACTCCTGAAGCTGGTACAGAGCTAGGGCTGGACTGAAAAGTCAACCATCATCACCAGCTCTCTCCGTGGAGACAAGAAGGAACGTCCCTGTATCCGAGGCCTGTGAGTCAAATGTACTCGACTTTTCCTTCCAGAGCCATCAGGCCCCCACGGCCAACTTTCTCCTTCACAAGCCTGTCTGGGTCCTGCTTCTGCGGTGGGGCAAAGTGCGACAGGATGAGGGTTGGTGGGATTTGGCTCAACTCAGACGAAGCTGGAGTTAATGCTCAGCCCCTGGAACTTTCTGTCTGGCTCCTTTTGTCTGCCACTGTTCACTTCCCTTCCCTTGCTCAATAACCGTTCCTGAACAGCCCCTGGACCTGAGATCCAAATAAGAAAGCTACAAAACAAGCTGACTCTTGGCTGTTGCCTCTGGGGGCCCAGGTGCTGCCACTCCGGGGAATTTGCAAGGGCTGTTCTGACCAACTGTGATTTTTGCCTTAAACACTTTAGGATCTCAGCCCCAAAGATGACACAGCTCCACTGCAAGGCCATTGCCAGACAGGCACCCATGATAGGTATGAGCCTGTTTTAGGGTATTTCCCCCACTTGCTTTAATCCCACCTCTTTTTCCCCTTTAAGGATCAATCAAGGCATCCAACTGAACTCTCTGTCCAACCAACCATCTATGGACAACTGTGAGACTGAACTCTGATCTTAATCCTTTACCACATGAGGGCTCTTCCCTACACATAAATACCTAAAATCCAGAACAGCGACAGTACAAGATAATGACTACTTCTGATAAAGTGTACTTTCTGTATGAATTAAAACACAAAATATGCCACTGAAATAAAGTAAAACTATAATCTAAAAATTGTTTTAAACAATCCATTTTAATCATCTAAATTATTTACAAATGTGAAAACAAGGATTCATCCTTTTCAAGACATGGGATTGATTATAAAAATCAGCAAATGATGATACAACAATACATTAAAATATATTAATAAATTTTTCTCAGTACGCACTCAAAACTTTTTCTCCATGAGACAGCTGGCTCTAGACACAAGTGCCTAATATTCAACTCTCCCCAATTTCCTCCCATCATACCAGTTGCAAGAAAAAAGACGAGTCACCTTCTGTCTCCAAAATTTCTCCCTACTCAGTCTTCCCAGCAGATGGCAGCTCCTGGGATTGTGGGTTTTGGCAATAGAAAAACCCAAGCATCGAGGGCGGACCAGGGCAGGGAGCAGACCAGCCCGGATACAAGTGTCAAGACCGAGGATACCCCAGGCCCTTCCTGCTGAAGGCGGTCTGTCTACCTGTGACTCCAAGATCGTGTGCCTAGTGCCACTCGGGCCTCTGGGATTACTTATTTAGAGCGCCATGCTTTTTATATGCCAAGAATCAAAATGGTCCTGTCATTCCCAATAGAGAAAAAAAGAGCCAAATCATTGTTCACACCTTTCCCCTCTGCACTGAATTTTACATGAGTCTTAACCCAGGAAGCAAACTCCGGAGCACGCTTATCTAAACAATCAGACTTTTCCTAAATTACCTTCAGCAATCTACATCATTCTTTCTGACTGCACACTTCCAACCTGACCCCTCTACAGTTTCCACTGCAAATTTGTGTGTGTGCCTCTCCTCAACGTTGCTGGGATGGATTTGCTGTAGGTATGAGTAAGGAGGGACGAAGCGATAACTTTGTCTTCGTTAACGGAAGAAAACTTAGGTGCTCATAACTGGCCCCCTCTCTCCCTCTGTCCCCCGAGAGAAGTTTTTAGTTGACTTGATGAGCTTTATTCCTTCTGTACAACTTCCCGAAGACACACCTAGTGGTGCTGCCTGAAACCCTTCACCTTCCTACCCCACAGGGAGGGCTGCAGGGAGGGGGGGTCATCACACTGGACACGATTTCTACCCCGTCAGCCACAAAAAATAAGTACACACTGTGTTTCCTGAACCGTTGTCTGCATTCCAGATGGGTACTGGGGCTGATCAAAAGGGAGGCAACCATACCATAGGCTTCCCTTTCTTAAATGTGACGACACTAAGTCACAAGCATTCTCATTCCCTTGCAAGTTTCTCTGGTCACTTAATTGCTAAATAAAATAAACCCTAAATAAACCTATATGCTAAGCAAATCCTTTTTACTTGATGATACTTCTAAAGTTGATGTCAAAACAAAAAGAACAGCTGGTCACACATAAAGGCCCTTGGCCATAGAGGTCTGAACTTAGCCAGGGGATGGGAGACGCCACCAAGAACCTCAGCTCTTTTCTACCTTGTACTGTATAGGGGGAGTGTTGCGGCTTTCATGGATGAAAATCATGAATCACAAACACGAGCGAGCATCCTGTGTTCAAACTTGGAGACTCGGGAATATGATGAAGATGAAGACATCTTTCTTTGGAGCTCTCCCTTTATTCTATAAGAACTTCCTTATCTTCTTGGCACAAGCAGCCAGTAGGTCTAGGAGTTCTGGCAAATACTAACCACGTGACCCCCGTAATCTAGGGCCCTGAGCACAAAGCTTGTCAATCCGGTGGCATCTGGTAGGTGGCATCCGGTGGATGTGGGTAGTTCTGTCAACTCATGGTCACATTTTTAATGTTCATTGGGACAGTGTGTGTGTGTGTGGGGGGGTGTTAGAGGAGATACCAGCCAGAGCTCTTTTCCAGATTCATCTAGAGTCCTGTCTCTGGAAGAGCGTCCTGATAGTCTCTTAGGGTTGGTTTGGTTAAGGAGTCCTGCTAAAACATTTTTTTTTAAAAACCTACTTTGAACAAATGCGTGAGCTTCAAAGTTAGAAAAGTAAAAAATACCTTCACTCAAGTTAGAAAAGTAAAAAATTTGGCTGATCCAGTGTTGTTTAAAATGCTGACCACTTCCTGGGCTTCCGCCTACTTTAATGTGGCGTGTAGGTGACAGATTCCCGCGTCCACCTTCTGAATGGACGGGAACTCATTGTTTCCCCTGAAACCGCCCAGTGCAGCTCAGCTCAGTTTGGAAATCACCAGAGGACTCGAGAATCTGCCCCTTAGACACGGGGAGAGACCCCGAACAGGAGGAGGGGAGCTGATATTCTGGGGGGCAAGGGGTGGGGGTAATCCACTTCTTTTTAGCAGCCTTTCCTGCTCCCGGGTCAAGAGCCCCACTGGGCCATGTACCTCCAAGGTGGGTGGGGAGCTTCACCCATTGGTTACAAAAGGAGGCATCAGACTCTGTGTTAAGAACCAGGAGTGCACAATGGGAATGCTTTAATCATCACCCACACAGACGAGCGGAAGCTACAGACAGAGAGCCACTATGGATGGTGCTCGGAACAGAGGTGAGAATGGCCCAGAACTCTGCCTCCGGTAAAGGTGCCAGGTTTACAGGACTTATCTCGGTGCCCTCACCAGACCCCTCCTCCTCCTCCTCCTCCTCCTCCTCCGTGGCCGCTGGCGGCTCCTGCATCTCTTCTGGGAAGGCCTGAGGCCGGCTCTGGTAACTTCTGCTGCCTGAGACAGTCACGTGTGCTCGGGACCTCTCACCTGAGGTCTCTGAGTGCTGCGCTGGCGTGGAGGTAGCTAGGCCCGGGAGGGAAATGTGGTCACCTGTGTCGTCTTCTTCAAAGTCGTTAAGGCAGTATACTTCGTCCAGGTCAACGTCCAGCGTCCGGAAGCCCTTGGTGACCACACCGGGCCGGGGGTCCAGGATGCCCCCGAGGTGAGGCTGGGCCAACTGCTGCCAGTGGTGAAGGGTGGCAGAACCTTGCGGGAGAAAGAAAGAGGGGGAACAGGGTGAAGACAGGGTTAGGATGGAACGCTGAGGTGACGGCTGCTCCCCACCCTCAAAGTGTGGAGTGGGAGCCCCCGCAGGCCCTGGGCTCTGCAGGTGGACTTTGGTGGGGACACTGGTGGCGCTGCCTCCGCCCCTCCTGCTGTGTAACAGCAGCTGATACCCCTCCCCTCCCCCAGGCCTGGAAGGGGCACCAATTTAAGGAATCAACATTATTTCTTTTTAAAGTAAAATTCATGCCATATTGTGTGACAAGGATATTGGTGACAAACCCTTTAATCAACTGATGTCAACCCCCAAATCGAACACAGAATCCCTTTAGAAACAGAAGAGGAAAAAATTAGCAAGACAGGCACAAAAGGGGGTCGGGGAAGGGGACAGTGTGTGCTGATTCTATGCTGAGTACACACTGCTGGGAGGAGGGAGGACATCGCAGAGGCAGAATAAGATCAAGCCAACCCCAGGAGCCACAGCTAAAGAAAAGCAAGAAGAAACTGAACTAGCACACGGAGATAAGTGGTAGGCACGGCCCTCGCCTTCCTCACGTAGGTGTTCTGTACCTGCCAGCAGCCTCAAGGTGCTGCAGGTTTCAGGAGAGGGAACGGGCTGAAAGAGGGATGACTGAAGAACATGGTAAGTCTGCACAGAGGTCTGAGGCAGAGTCGCCTATCTCCTCGGTGACACCGGACCCCAGGACTCAAATGACACCATGCAAGGTCTGTAATAACACCGGTGTGTCCCCGAGGGCCTCAGGGGTGCCACAGGTGCTTGCAAAGAGAAGTGTTCCAAATGCAGGTGTGCTTAGGGAACCTGGGTTAGGAAGTGTATTTACCGGGGGTCATGTCAGAGCCTTTAGCGTGTCGCTATGTGCTGGGGCCTGCCCAGCCCGCCTTCTCCCTCGGAGCACTTACTGCACCTCACATGGCCCTGGTATTGGGGGTGCGTGGCCTGTGAGGCTGGGCGTTCCAGCCTCGTTCTCCAGATGGAGTTAACCACACAAATAAATATGCTACACTCAGGAGAGACTTCAAGAGAGGGTCTCAGGCATGGGAAAGCAAGAGCCTTCCTGCTCACGTGAATCCCAGTGACCGCTGGCTTACTGACGGTGACCTCTGTTCAGTAGGCAAGAACCCCTCTAGGCCACGAGGCTTCTCTGTCAGAAAGGGGCGTCAAGGATGCCAGGAGCCTGCAGCTCAGGAAGTCAAGATGGAAGAGGAGGAAAAGGCAGGCAGACAGTGGGGTCAGGAAGCCAACCAGAAATATGACTGAGACGCAGACAGCCCACGCTCCTCAGGAGTTCCCCACCCTCTGGGGTGCCCAGTGAGGGCATGACCGCCAAACACTGCTGGAAAGTAACTTCCCATGGGACAGTCTCAGCCAAGGAGTCGGGAAAGGATTTTGTAAACGGGCAATTTCAAATCACTTGAGAGAGAAAAAACCGTCCCCATTGCCAATGCATGTTTACAAGAGTTCCTGGCCACCCACTCTGAGGTCTGCCCCAGTTTTAAGGGTGTACAATAGCAACCTGCTTAACCGGAATCTTCTGAATATAAATTGAAAATATTCTAAATGCAAAAAAGAAAAGAAATAATAAAGAGATATATATATAATGAAAGAACATACTTGTTCTCTCGCTGGGTGGTAAGACACACTTAAGACTAGTGGTTCTCAACTGGGGGTGATTTTGACCCCCAGGGGACATTTGGTAATGTCTGGAGGCATGTTTGGTTGTCGCAACTGTGGAGGAAGAGGGGGTGCTAATGGCCTCCAGTGGGTAGAGCCAGAGATGCTGCTAAACATCCTATCATGCGCAGGACAGCCCCTGTGACAAAGAATGACCTGGCCACAAATGTCAACAGTGCCGAGACTGAGAAACCCTGACCTAGGGCTGCGGTTTTTACTTCTCAGATACTTTGAGAATCTGAAAGGAAGCCACGGACCCTCTCCCCAAAGGGAGCTCCATGCAAGCAGCCCTGTGCACAAACGGCCGGGGCTGCAGTTCACGGGATACGGACTACCAGGGGCCACAGCATCATGTTGTGCAAAGGGCTTCCCTGTGTGGAGGCAGGTCTGTGTGGTGGCTGGTTTTACATGTATTACACCAGCTCACTCCTCAGTACTGCCCTACGAGTAAGTATTACTACTACCCACCCTTCACACGTGAGGGAACTGAGGCTCACGGAAGTGACACAACTTCCAAAGTCCCTGAAGCAGTGGTGGCATAGCCAGTGCTATCGCCAGGTCCCTTCAGTCATCTCACACTGGCCACCCCTCCAAATCCACAGGTCTGAATACAAGCAAGGACATCAGTGATCCAGCCAGGAACCCAGGCTAAGTGAGAAGCATAAATGGCGGGCAGTACAACTTCCAGGTGGGTGTCCCGGACCTGCCAGGAGACACACACACTCCTGAAGATGGGCTTTCTCGTGCCACCCACCCCTGGGGACCCCCATTCATAATCCATAATGGGCCCCCTGTTCATATGTTCACTGGAGGGACAAGGCACATTCCCTGAAACCAAACCACGCTGGGGAGAAGTCTTCAACAAGGCACGTGACATCCAGCTTAGGACTGCACATACGGGGCTTAGAGGGATTGTGAGAAACCCCTGGGTACAACGTGGCCACGTCACCTCTACTTTTGGACGGGGAAGAAAGGGCAAGTCGACAGACACTGGAAGGTGAAGAGCCACGTCGAGGAAGCACCGAATCTCCTCATGCCTCTAAAGGGAACACTGGATGTGTAACATGCCTGGGAAACAACTCGGTGAGGCTAGCGGATGGGCCCAGACCAGAGATGCATGCGCCTCGGTCCTCCCTTCGTTCAACAGACTGCCCCCATCTGTCCCACTCCATGTGTGGGCTCCTGAGCGAGGTGAGGCTGCAAAGGGTTTGCTGTTCGGTGTTAAAGAGGCTACAGCAATGCATGGGGTTATTTGCTGTCCCTAAAAGTGCATAGCCACGGAAAGTCAGTGATATCACAACCAAAAGATTGTGCTCAAAAATGCACCGTACTTGGATTTTTTTTACCGCATGCCTTGGGCATCCCTTACTCACATAAGAATGGCCAACCTTTACTGAACACCTACTAAGTGCCAGGCACGCTTCTAAGAGGTCCACATTTATTAACTCACTTAATCGTCATAACCCTATTGTACAATGTTCATATTGTACAGATGTGAAAACTGAGCATGGGGAGGTAAAGTCACTTGCCAGAGGATGCACAGCAAGTGGCCAGTTCTGGATTCAAACGCAGGCTAGCTCCAGAGTCCATCCTCTTAACCACATAGATTGCCTCTCGGCCAACATATGTGAGTCTCAGATACAAGGTCAATAACATACCAGAACAGCTGCTCTCATCCTCATACAGGTGTTTTCTATTCTGCAATAGTGAATATTGGTGAAAGCATTGGCAACACTGTTATTTATGGCGTGCGGTGGGGTTCAGAGACCATCGGCACTCCTGGCTGGTTCTGAGGCCCTGGGAAGATTTGCTGAGCCCAGCATCTGGGCAGAACACCTCATGTCCCACCTCCCTTCCACTGTCACTGCCTGGACCACCACGTAGGAATTCTGCTGGTCTCCTGGCTGCCTGAAGTCCCTCCTTTGATACAAGAGGGCATACACATTAAAAAGTAAATGTGAATTGCACCTTCTTCCGAGCCTTCGTTGCCTCTTTCCTATCCCCTCTTCCCCCTCCTCATTCCCCAGCTTGGCTTCCTGTATTCGCTGAGCACAAATCAGGAGAATTACTATTAGCTACTGCCTGCTACCACCACCTCTTGCCACCCCCATGAGAATGAGGCTGGGATTAAGCAGCGAGGCACGGGTAGAGAGGAACCTTCCTACTTGGCACCTAGGCAATGGGGCAGAGGTAGAGAGCGATTTCCCTAGTTGGCACCTAGGAAACAAGGGTGTAGACAGTACAAACAACATAATTACAGTCACTGCCCCTTTCCTGCTGTTTGCTTTCCTGCCACACCCCACTGTTCTAACCAAAAGGTATTCATGTCATCAGAGGAGAAGAAAAGCAAATTCATTTATGTCAGAGGAGCACCTGAGGTCTAAAAGTTTAGAACTAAACCTCCTGGATAATGTACAGGTTAGAGGTGTATGCTTTCCCCTAATTACATATTAACTTGTTTATTTGGAAATACTACCTTGGCTATAATTAATCAGAAAGGAAGAACAACATACAGGGGGGGAAATCCTGCCCGACTGCATCTTTTTAATGCAGATCTCTCTCTTCTAGGCTGACTGTTCTGTTTGTTCTCCACCTGCTTAAAACATGTAAGGTAAGACAAAGAAACAAGAGTGCTAGCATTTTTAAACACCTAGCCCAGCTATTTGGCTGACTCCAGTAAGCAGACAGCGAGATTAATTAAATAGGTAAGGGAAACACCGATGGAAGACACAGATTGGCTATCTGCTATGATCCCAGCCAACATTCTCCAGGGCCTCATGGCAGGTACATTTACCTGGGCCACTGGAGATCACGGGAATCCTATCAGCTTCTTAGTGGGTGAGTGGAAAAGGATTGAGAACACGGCCCCAGCACAATGCTGGTCCAGGTCTCAACACTGGTAAGGCCACTCTTTAGGCCAGAACTGCTGGGACAGGGACAAGTTTGGGGAGCCTAAGTTTTAATTAGGACCTATTAGGTGCTGGGAGTAATATAAAACGCATCCCATTTACTCTTCACCACAATCTTGAGTGGCAGATGTGAGCCCTATTTCACAAACACGGGAAAGAAACCTCAAAAAAGTGAGGAAGCTTCTCCAGTGCCACAGTTGGAGCTGCACGGAAGCGGGTGTCAGGCAGACCTCCATGTCAGCACTCCACCTTATCAAATTAAACACAGTGACACAAAAAAATAACTGTGGAGGGGAAGAAGGAGTAAAATATTGGTTGTATTTTAAATAGCAAAGAAGTCCAAGAACTACAACATGGAGCCAGAGAGACCCCTATCAGATGCGTTATAGGCCACAGTGATAGGATATGAATTCTTAATGGTTGTGATTTAAATTTTTGGTGAGCAGGGTACTATAGATGAAGTCTATCTTGCAAATCTAACAGGATTTCCTCTTATTCCATTATCACAAAAATACTGCTATCTATGTCACAAGATTAAATGCAAAAAGGATGAATTGGTCAAAATAATTTTTTTTAAAAAAAATCTCTTCCTGTAATACGCTTGGAAAATGAATCGAAAAACATATTCTTAAATGATCTAATGAAACACAAAGTCAAACTTAGAAAGCAGACAAGACAGAGATGATAAACTCCAATGATCTTTGAGACAAAGGAAATAAAAAGAAAAGAAAGGCAAAAAGTAAAATTGCGGAAATGGAAGATTTTATTGAAAGAAAAACAGACATAATTGTGGATCAGAAAACAATCGCCAAGCTTACAACTGAATAAACAATTTAAAAAAAAATGAGCCATCCCTTTTCTGAAATCTAAGAAGGACCTAAATTATACAATAAAAAAATAATAAGGGAAAAAAGGAACATAAACCCACCCTCTTCCTCCCTTTGGGGAATATGGAACCCAGCATGTATTGGGTCTGTAACAAGCAAACCTCATCTTTACAGCAAGAATTCTCAACTGCCCCCAAGGGGTTGAAAATGGGTTCTTGTGGGGGTGAAAAGAATCTACACTTTTTAGGCACAGAACACAGATATACATTATTGTACATAAACAGTATATCTGTGGCATTACATTTTCAGGGGGGAATGTCTTAAAATAGCTCCTTAAAGGAGACAATAATTTTTAAAAAGTTGAGAAATACTGTCTTACAGAAATTCTGATTTGGCTTTGCGTTAGGTACGTAATACGGAATTCTAAAACTCCTTCTCAGACTCACATGGGTTTCCAAAACAGAGGAGTAAAAATGAAAATTACAAACACTTGGTGGCTCTTGGGTGGGTAGTGGTGGGTAATGGGAAGAAACTGTATAATGCCTAATGGAAAAAGAAAGAAAAAGAGGTGAGTTTAATCACTGGGGGTGTCCCTGGTACTACAAAGAGAATTGCCCCTGGAAAAGGCAGGCTTAAGGAGGTACAGAACTCAATGGTTTCCACAGCCACCCCACAAATTGTGGAGGTCTGGGAGCCTTGCTCAGAACACTGCATATGAAGCAAGCCACGGTCTTTTTATTGGAAGATCCAAGTAAAACATGTGAGCCAACAAACTGCAAAGACAAACTGCAAATCGCTTTCATGGGGTTATTGAAACAAACAACAGGCCGTTTGCTTTGCACCCCTCTCTCCCTGACACCAAAATTTTTGAGAAATCAAAGCATTAATTCTCTATGCTGCTGAGACCCCCAGGCAGGACTGAATTAACTTCTGAGTATGTGAGCAGTGCCTCTGCCCCCCCCCCAAAAAAAGATTTTCAGGTCTAAGGTTTTATAATAAATGTGGAAGAGAGCGAGAACTAGAAAGCCAGTGTCAGCACGTGCTCTCCTTTTCTTTGGCTTACTGGCGGAGGTTAGTTAGTCTTGGGCACCTGTGTGTGTATTTCCAAACCTGCACCGGGGAGCTGGGGGCCGGGGCTGGAGCCCCTCAGAGGAACTCAAACCAGCAGCGTGGGTGGCTATCCCGGAAGAAGAAGGAGTAGGCGTGACAGAGGCTGCCGGCTGGCTGATGGTGGATCAGGGACCACAGGGAGTCGCTGACCAGGGCAGAGAGGGGCCGAGGCCCCTGGTGATCACCTTCCAGCGGCTTCACGATCTGGAGTTTCTCAGGCAGGTAGGAGCGGCTGCTGAAGGACATGCCAGAGAAGCCGGTGAACTCGGAGAGGCGGGAGTGGGTGCCCAGGGACATGATGCTCTCGGTGGGCGTGAGCGAGCCGCTGGGCAGCTCGCCCTTCTCGGCCAGCTCCCTGAGCTTCCTCTCCTGCTCCTCCTCAAAGAACCTCCTCTCGGAGAGGTAATTCTCCCGGCGGAGGGACAGCCGCCTCAGCGCAGTCTCCAGGTCATGGGAGCCCGGGGTACCCGGTGTGCCCGGCTTCTTACTCTGCTCCTTGTTTCTGGAAAAAGGGGAGATGGGGTGAGCGTGGAACAGCCAGCAGGGGGCGCTGTGCAATGTACAATGAGGCCTTAACTGCCGAAGGTGCAAGGGTGAACTGCAGGATTTTCTAAGGCAACCTTTGAATTGCCTTAGGCAAGTCTAAGGCAAACCAAGGCAAGCCTTTGAAATTCAGGCAAAAATGGGTAAACATATGCCAGTCCTGAAGAACTAATTCTCCCTGGGGTTTTTTTTTGAGGGGGGTTGTGGGGGAAGGGGGAAGAAAACACTCAGGTAGAATGAAAATGTGCACACACCATGTAAAACTCAGTCCTTATAAACACCTCCCTCCTGAGCCCTTAGGGGGAGGCCTACAGATGCGGTTGGTAGTTACCAGAAGGGCAGCAGGCTCAAGGGGTACTTCTTTCCTCTTGAAATTAAGGAGCGGACAGTTCAAAAACAGTTCTGATCAAGCAGTTTCCCCACTGTCTGACACAATTGGTCAGAAAAAAACGATTTTATTAAGTCACAGGAAACGGGTGCACAAAGCGGACAACGTTGGGGAGGGGGCTGTCCTGCAGGGCTTCAGGACAGAGGGACTGACCACTGCTGAGGAATCCCCAGCCCCGGGGATGCTCGGTGTGACAGGCACTTACTGGGCACCCTGTACCCCACCTTCTGAAACAAACCAGATCCTGGTCATGAGACACAGTCTGAGTCCTCCTCAGCCTTTCAAACATCCCAGCTACAAAGGGGTTCATGGAACAAATGTCTATTCTGTCGTCTTAACAGTGAAGATGAAAAAAAAACAACCACATATTGACTTATCCCCTTCAGTATCTTACACAAAAGCAGACTTCCTGGTGCATGCTGCTATTATACCTCTTTAAACTGGTTAAAATATCAGTATCAAGGATAAGTGTAAGCTCAGTGGGTTGGTAAAACACATTTGGAAACTGAGAGGTCTATATCGTTCAGGCGATTCTTAATAGCTTCTCCTGATTCTGAACCTGTGTTCAAGCCACACCACCTCTCCCCCAAACAGAAAGGTACGAACTCCCACTGGCTCACCCCAGGCTGTCTGACTCTGCCTCCAGGATGATGCTATTGGTCTTGTTGTCCAGGATGACATTGCCGACGTCGCTGCCATAGAAGCTGGACCGGGGGGTGCTGACACAGCTGGACAGGAGGGAGTTCATGGCCGAGGACTGGTTGGAACCGGGGATGTTCATGGGGGAGGGCGTCAGAGATCTCTGCTTGACAACCTGGTTGATGTTCCTCACCGTCTCAAAGACTCGCTTCTGGTGACTGGGGAGAACGCACATCATCCATGAATAAGCAAGTGTAGGAATGACCTTGGCATTAAACCCTCCAAAAATGATCCACTGAGCAGGAGCCAAAAAGGCAGTTGACCCACATGAGCCCCTAAGCAACCTGCCATCCTGAGCCGTCCATGTGTTTCCTAGGGTGCTGGTTGGAGCTCGAGAGACTCAACACCCACTGAATTACAGGCTCTGATATTTGGTTGTTTCCTAAAGGTAATGTTAGCAAGAGTGGGTGACACTGTTTTCACCTCCTTTAAGCTTGACCTACAAATGCAAGTACTTGATTAGTACTTTGTCTTCCAAGCTCGTTTTCTTTTTTTTCATGATAGTCACTAGAACACAGGCTCCAGGAGGGCAGTGCTCACTGCTCAGCACATAACAGGGCTCAATAAGTATTTGTAGAATTGAGTATTTCTTGATTTCATATACAGTCACGTGCCGCTTAATAACGGGGACATGTTCTGAGAAACGCATCTCAGGCGATTTCATCATTGTGCAAACATCCCAGAGTGCATTTACACAAACCTGGATGGGATAGCCTACCACACACCTAGGCTGTCTGGGATAGCTTACTGCACCTAGGTTACAAGCCTGTACAGCTCGGTAGCTGTGCAAAACATGAGATTAAATCAAGCACGAGGGAAAATGATAAAATTAAGAGATGCAGTAAGTAGGAGATGTATGAGGCTGCTGCAGCGTACTGTTTTACAGCAAAATTATTTATATAAGTACAAAGAGTACACTTCAAAATAACGAAAAAAAAGTATAGTAAATACATAAACTGGTGGCCTAATTGTCTATTATCATTATCAAGTATCATGTACTGTATGTAATTCTATGTGCTGTACTTTTATACGACTGGCAGCACGGTGGGTTTGTTTACACCAGCATCGCCACATGTGAGCCACGCATTGTGCTATGATGTCACGACAGCTATGACGTCACTAGGAGATAGGACGTTTTCAGCTCCATTATCATCTTATGGGACCAATGTCATATATGTGGCCCATTATTGACCAAAATGTCATTATGCAGCACGTGGCTGTATATAAAAAACACAAGACTTAAAGTGAGTCTTAAACTTTCTATAATGAGATGATAAACACCAGATTAGTCTTTTTTGTTTGTTTGTTTTAACTGCTATCTCTAAGGGCAGAGCCACAGACTTTGGTGCTCATTTGTTCCCTTTTAAGGAGAAAAAAGTAGGCATGTTTCTATAATGGGCCACTTCTTTCTGGGATGCAGAGGGCTTCAAGTATGTGCCAAGGCTCAGGGACACTGGTCACTCCCAGGATCCTGGTTCAGTTCTGTCTGTGGGGTTTGGGTACAGAGAAAACACAGTCAAATTGGATCCACAGGTTCCTCATAAACACCTCAGGGCAGCCACGCACGAGGTCTCGAGTTAGGAAGAGAGATGGCGGAGGCCGATATCCCTCAGTGGATCCGGGAAGGAGATGGAAGCCTTGTCCACACCCCTGAAGAGCCCTCTGTATCTCACATTCTAATTTTCTCTTTTCCTAACAGACATTAAGAATTTAAATAGCAATGTTTTTAACTGAAAGATAAAAATGAGTAATGGTGTTAAAGGGAGGTGGGAAACACATCTCTCCTCTCCCAACTTTCTGCAAGTTCACACTCTATCTTTAAAACCTAACAAACAAGCGGAGCTGGGGATGTTGTCAGCTGGGTAATTTCCCTTAATCTGGACATAAGCCCTGGAAGGCCCAAACACTGCTCATTTTGACCATCACAGGTCATGAGGGGGTCTCCGGGACGCTCAGAAGTGAGGCCGTACGCGATGTCTGGAGAGTCAGGGTCTTCTAGCTGCAGCTCCTTGCGCATTGTTCCCTCGATCTCGGCTGCCAAGGAGTCCTGGGAAAAGCCAAAAGACACACGTGTGAGCAGCAACGCAAATGCTGTCTCTAAAAGAGCCGCGTGACCAGGCTAGCCACAGAAAAGTAAACTGAGGCCTCAAACGCCCGCAGACTTCCCACAACACAAAGTTGACGGCATTCGCCATTGTCCCCGCAGAGACCCCGGCTGAGCGATCCTTGGGGCAGGTGCTGAACACAGCAGGCACCAACGGGCCCTTCACTTCCATGCAGCTAAGGGTCTGAAAGCAAACTCTATGTTCCCTTCGCCTGACCACGGGGCTGCAACGTGGCCACAGGAGAAGCAGAGAACTTACAGGGGGAGGGGACTGTGTTCAGAACAACAGAGATGGATGAATTTCCATAGACCACCAAGCTTATGAGCAGTCAGAGAGGATGTCACAGCCCACATGGGCTGCACTGAGCTATTGTTCTCTCAGTCTCCAGGGTCTGCTAACCCTTTGGCTCACCCAGGGTTCTGAACCACCTGCCACTCCTCAGCGTATGAGGCAGAGCCTAACAGACAATCCTCACACGTCTGCCAACAGAACCAGGTGTGTGCAGAAAAGCACCTGCTGAAGCCTCAGAGGAGGATGCCCACATGGGACAACCTGGAGGGAAGGGCTAAGTCCCTGCTCACCACAGAAATTCCTGCGATGATGGAAAAGGTCTCTGCCTGCACTCTCCAATGTGGGGGCCACCAGCCACTGGGGGCCATCGAGCCCTTGAAATGTGGCCAGTATGATAGAGGACCTGAGTCCTTAATTGCATTTAATTTTAATTGATTTAAATTAAATTGATTTAAATATCTTTAAATAATGCACTTGAAAGACAGACATCTTCAAAAACAGAGCTGTGACAAACACAAGACTTTCCTCTGTAAATATGAAAGCTGAAAATTCTATCCAGAAGAAACCCAAATGTAGATTTCCAATTGAACGTTTCTCATGTAATGGTTTACATTTTAACTGCAGGTCTGCCCTTCAGAGTGGGGAATACAGTGTGGGGTGAATTCTAGCACACAGGAAACAAGGTGATTTGGGAGATAGCCGCCCCCACAGATGAGAAGCCGAGGCAAGGGGCACAGGCCAGTCTGTGAGCCGAGGATAGTCAGCTCTGGATCGAGGAATCCAGGGACAAAATGGTCTTTGCTGCGATTCCTGGAATTACTGGATCACTGATCTGCAGCTGGGAAAGCTGACTATTCATGGTGTGTGTCCTTGTCTTTGGTTTCATTCGATTTCAGTCAAGTTGAGAGAGAAAGAGAGTTCGAGCCTGAGTTGGGTGTACGAAAGCCACGGAGAAAAAGAGGCCATCACTGAGGAAAAGTGGACCAGACAACAAGGGGTGAGGTGAAAGGAAAGAGCCCTAAGGAAAAGCCAAATTCGGAAGGGACCGAGTTTCACAAACATTTACACAGCCACCCACTCCTATCTCATTCATAGGAGTTCCTCTCAAAAGTTCTCTCCTCAGAGTACTCGGCGATTCGTCACAGCATGAAAATAGAGCCTTAAATATAAAAGTTCTTGGTAGTCTGTTCTTCCGTCTGTCCACCCGCCCACCCAAATCTAATATCTACGAAGCAGCTACAATTCTACAACATACCCAGCACTGTGCTAGGTGTAGGGTAGGAAACAGAGGGAAAGAAGAAAACAGCAAATAACACACAGTCCCCACCTCCAAAGGGGCTTTGGTCTGACAGAAGATTAAAGGAGTAAGCTCACCACGTTACAGGGAAATAACCAGCAAAGAGGAGCTACAACAAGTACAGGGAGGGATTAACCTTCTAGAAAATTCCCTCCTCAGCCATGTTCCCTAAAGCCCAAACAAGGAAACAAATCAGGCCAGGGCTAAACAAATAAGGTTGTGGGGACATAATATGAAAAATATAAAAACGCCACACCCAGAACAGCGGGAAACATTTTTTTCAGATCACAGGTACTGACAGCTACCAGGAGAATGGCTAATACGCATACAAAGCGCCAGCGGAACCATACGGGCAACTGAAGAATTCTGGAATGCACGTGTGAGGCCAAAATCGCACCCATTCTCATAAGGTCAGGAATAAATAATGTACAGATAACGTCTTCCCACTATCTGAGGTTCCAACTAAATCTAGTTCCTCCTTAATTTCTCTCTTAAGAGGGGGAGGAGGCAAGATAAGAGCGTCAGAGGGACAGAACATGAAGACCCGATTTGTCTTGTGTCGTTACGAGGTCGCCTGCTGGGCTCAGGAGCCCCCAGCTCGAATCCAGATCCAAGCTGCAAAATGAGAGGCGACCTGCACAGGTTCAACTCCAGCCCCGCCGTCTACCATGAGCACCCCTGCACCCCTCTGGGTAGGAAGAGGGGTGTTGGGGAGCAAGCAGCACACACCATGGGGAACAGGCCCAGCGAGTGGTAGCGCCGGGACGTGGCGTTGGGCACGGTCTTGTTCCGAAGGTTCTTGAGCTCCTCCTGCGCCTCGTGCAGCATCTCCATGCACTCTGCGTACTTGTCCTCCAGCTCACGCAGCTGCAGGGGGGCGGGGAAGGGTGGAGGGTCAGGGTCTCCTGAACACTGGGTACAAACCCACCCACCCACACAGCCAGAAAGACATGGGCCCCGGCACCCTGTGGTCTGAGGCCAGATGCCCAAGAGTCCTTGGGGCTCAGTTTTTCTTTCATGTGGGGCAGGCTGACAGACTCAGGAATCGCCCAAAATTCTAACCAGGGGCAAGTGAGATTAAAAACATCTTTAACTGAATGGGAGAGCAAATCGTGACACCGTCGTTTCAAGGCTGTCTTTGAGTGGGCTCCCTTCACGTGGTGTTCTCTGTGTCATCTCTTACTGGAATGTTTATCGGGAGGCTGTGCACACCAGGCTCCAGGCTGTTGTACAGCCCGGCTTACCAGTCACTCACAACCAGAAACAGCATCAGCAGGAATTAGTTTAGGAGTAAACATGACATTCAAGTCAATATAAAAGGTGGATACGACCCACAGCCGGTCAGAGGGAGGCTGATGCCCCCTAACTGGCACTGGGGGCCCTGATGAAATGAGGGGGAGCCACTCACCTCGGCCGTGAGCTGCCGCTGGGCATCCTTAGCAGCCCCCAGATGCTGGACGAGTTCTTCATTTTCCACTGCGCACTGCAGTGGGACAAAGGGGAATCAGCTTCTCTTTGGAGATGCTTCAGAAAGTCTAGCTTTTTCCTCTTATTACCTGGTCCGTTATGATCCTATCACACTTCTACAATGGGGCTTTCATCTTATGCTGGAGTAAAAAGCTCATCTTTTATATAATTTTGAAGGCAGTCTTTCCTACATCCGTATCCACTCTCTGTAGCCCGGCGCCCCGTCCCACCCTCCACTGTCACAGCTGTTCTCCGGACGCATTTCCCCTCACGCTTCTAGCTAAGGCCCAGCATAGGAAACGAAATTGTTTTCTGCTGCTTTATCATAAATCTAAAGGGGATGCCATTGTGCTGCAGAACATACCAGGTGCACTGCTTAAAAAAAAAATACTAGATAGATAACGATTCGTAAGTTAAACCCCCAAACTCCTTATCTACAGCGCCTACCTCCAGAAGACTGCACCATGTGGTTGCATATCTTTGCGCTGCCCCTTTGGAGGAAAAGCTTAGTGGATGCAATAGTATATAACACTTATCACTACTTTCCTCCTAAGAATAATCTGCAAATTAATTGAGTTCATTAAGAAAGGTGCCCTTGGCGATCTCAGAAAGGCCCTTTCTGTACTCGCCAGAGGAACGGAAGCCTCACCGCTTTTGCCTTCTTCTGCAAATCAACTATTTGCGACAGCAGGTGTGTGATCTCCTCTTGCTGGCGGGCCGCGTCTTCGGTCTTCTTGGCCAGTTCCTCTGAGATGCTCGCAATCTGCACGTTGGCGTCCCCTTTGACCCAGAAGTAATAGTCACAAGAGTACGTCAGGAAGCCCGACACACAGACCAAGAGAGAATGGTTTCTTTGTGGTCATTATAAGACGTGGGAGAAGAGGTGGGTGGTGGGAGGGGCAGCAAAGAGGGTACATGAAGAAGGGACTTAGGGTTCCCATTTTGCTCTGTGATGAAATGAAGCAAAGCGGCTTCCTTGGGCTCAGTCGTTATGAGAAGGAACCTGGATCCCCAGTTGTGGCTCCCAGGCTCAGTGTCGGGGCCCGACCCCACTGACCGAGGCTGCCCCCCCAGAGGAAGGCAGGCAGGCTTCAGGAGTCAGCCACGGGGTACCACACCAACACGAAGGTGCATCTGGCCGAATCCCCCCCCTCCACACATGAACAGAGCCACATCATTACCAGGAATCCCTGCTGTAGACCCTGTTCTAGAAAGGAACCACTACCGAGCACAGAATAATCCCCTTGGGTGTTCTCAACCTATATTCAGAGCCCTAACTCATTTTTCTAGATTTGAACATAGGGCATGTTTCATTTACTTAGTATTTTGCTGAGGCTCTAAATATTCTGTTTATCCCCTTTGTCTGATCTTAACTTTAAACTTACAATGAGGAGGGTGGAAAGAAGGACCTACTTGCGAAGCTGAGAACTCTTCCTCAACTTTCATGTGTCGAATTACTAGGAAGCACTTTTTCCACATTTTCAACATAGGACTCTGAAGCCGGGTCTAACTTAGCCATTAAATAATCCCAATGTTCCAGCAGGAAGCCAAAATTAAAATTAAATATTTGCGTCAGTGACAAATTGAGACAATGTATGATTGACCACCGAGCACTCCATTTCTCATAAATCAGGGTGAGGAGTGCCACACAAAAGATCGGGGGGGGGGGGCTCTAGTTTGAAGAAAACTGCTCCTGAGCCGGGGCTGGCACGGAGACTGTATTTTGTCAGGGGGGAAGCTAACCTGCCTGGTCTTAATGATGGTAGATGCAGAAAGTAAAGAGGGAGTAGGAACGGGGGAGAGGGCCAGGGACATACTCAGCTCCTTCACGCAGTCGTTGACCAGTTGCTGCTCCTTCTCTTCGTAGGTGATGGTCTCTGTCTTCAGCTGGCAGGCCTGTGGACATGGCCCAGGTCAGAGGCCCGGCACTCACACCAGGACTGACGGGGCAGTCAAGGCTGGGGCACGGAGCAAGGGCTAACCTGGGTCTGGGAAGCCGCCCTTCAGCATCTCCCCACCTGTCACCCATTGCACCCTCGAATACAGAAAGTCAGTCTGAGTTCCCTGCTTTGTCAATGAATCTCAGAGTCTCAAAGCTGAAAATGGGCACCACTAGAGGGCGCCACATAAAGCAACGTGCACAAGAGCTATACACCCGCTTTACTAAACCTCTGTATGAGCCACCATTGTGTCCAGTCTGTCTGTCTATTCATTTGTGTCTGTCCCGGGTCATAGCCATGAACCCCTTTGTGACCCCAACAGTGCCTAGGACACAGCTCTGCCTACCGCAGGCATTCTCAGGATAACCATTTACATTTGCCTACTATGTGCTGGGCACTGTCCTATGAGGTTCTGAGTTGGAGTTAAACCTGTTACACTCAGCTGAGCAGAAACAAGGCACGCTATGAAAGCATTAAAGTTCAGAGACTCAGGAGCTATTCCAGGCCTCTGGAGAGCTTGCTTCTGGCTAAAAAGGTGGGAAGAAGGACCCAGTTAGGGAAGGCATCTCTGAGCCCTCCGGTCCTGACCCCAGAGAGGCACTACCCTCCTAAACACCGAGGCGGAAGAGCCGGAATCTGTGGCTGGGATCAGATTCCCTCAGCCTGTTGTAGGTGGGGGCTCTGACAGAGGGACCACTTGCTGTGTGCCTGGGGCCGATGCCGGAAGGGGCAGCACTCGACTCAGAATGGGGAGTCTGAGCTCAGCCACTGGCTGGCCGAGAGAGCTTGGGCACCCCCATCCGTGAACGGGGGGCTGGGGAAGGTGAGACCTAGGAGAACATGGCCCTTTCCTCATGCCTCAGAGTGTCCTGTTAAGTCTAGATGTGAGGCTCCTTCCAACGTGTGGGCAAGTTCAAGGTGACAGGTGGCCTGTCGTATTGGAGGGCCTGTGGGAGCACTGGGCCAGCCCAGGTGGGCCTCCAGCTCAAACTTGACAAACCAAGGAAGGGCCTGATAATGAAAACAAAAAGTACCGAATGTGCACGTATCAGTGTTTGCAGACAAGGACAGTGGGTGAAGGGAAATAACGTGAGTCCCCGAGACTTGCAAATCCTGGTCTTGTCATTCACTAACTTGCACGACCTTGGGAAACTAAAACGCCTAGCAGCCTGGGTCCCGGTTTCCCCACTGTCAGTGAGAATCAAAGTCACCAGCTCCCAGGCTTGTTGTGAAGAATTAAAAAAATAACAGGCTAAGTACCTAGCATAATGCCTGGCCAATCAGAAACAGTCCAAGGCATGACTTCCCCAGTTGCCTCAGCGCAACCTTTTCAAGTTAACTGTCTAGAAAGTATGTCTCCAAGTTCTCGGGTACTGTTTCCTTACAGCGTAACTGATCTGCAGTGACATGAAAACGGGGCCTTCACAAGGGTCCTCCAAGTCATGTCTCCATCAGAGCTGGAGAATGCCATGCAAAGACCCCACTGCGGGAGCTTTTGCCCTAACTGTGAAGGAGGATGGGTCTGCCAGCCTTGCCCATCCACACGCAACATAATTCACCAATCAGTCTGCCCCGGCCCCGATGGTGCGCGCTGCCCTGGGAGGCAGCGCCCAAGCACACCAGTGAGGCACGCCGGCCAGGCACTCGGGGCAGCTCTGAGTTAAAGTGCAGGTGATTGTTCCCCAGACTGTCACCTTTGAGATTGGTGCTGGAACCACGGCTATTCTTGCCAGATAAGGCAGACGAGGCCACCACCCTCCCAGAGGTGACAACAGCAGGGTGCACACTTCACCTCGGATCGAAGGACCACATTTTCCTCTTCAAGGTCCTTCAACTTCTTCTGAAGAGAATCCAGGTGAAAGTAATTCTGGACTGAGGAGGATGACTCGTTCCTCTTCAACCTGGGGGAGAAAGTACAGTCACTTTCCAGGGAGAGGCGCACTCCTCCCCTGACCTGGCACACCACAGGGAGGCACAAAGGGCTGTTTCTAGGGGAGTCATGAAATGACCAGGCGTGACAAGGACACCTCAGGCTGCTCGCTCACCACCCAGGAACAGCGTCTGCCGACGCAGGCTCACCACCACTTCCGACTCACATCCCAACCCTTTGTCCACAATTCGCAGTTGCCACATCACCTCAGCATTGGGGGAATCAGCTCTCCTTGAAGCCTACGCAATTCTGGGATGCCTGAGAGTTTATTTAATACTTATAATGTGCTTCTATGTGCCAAGAGCTGTCTTCAGTACTCCACACGCATTAATGCTCATAACTCTATGAACTAAGTACTACGATTTCCCCCCTTTTACATGAGGCTCTGCCGACTCTCAGCGAAGCCCCCACACCTTCTGTCAAGGCCCCACCATAGCATCTCTGGCTCCAACAGCAGAGCCCACCCTATTACACGTTTACATGCCAGGCCAAGTCAATCTAACCTGACCAAGGAGCAAGGAGACCCAGGAAGAGGAAAACTAAAATAAAACCCTGCCGTTCCACGTCCCACTAAAAAAGTAAAATCAATCTGTGTGAGGCCCTCAGCGATGCCTGGTCTGGAGGAGGCTGAGAACAGCGGACCTGCACTGATTGCTGGAGAAGGCGACCCTGTCTTGGCAACTCCAAGGACAGGGACGGCGGTCAGCCTCTGTGGCCGGCCCCGGTGACTTACGGGGTTGAGCACGCAGACTCGGGCTCGCTCTCCTCCGCGGCGCTGGTGTAGAACTGAAGCAGCTCATCCTTCATGGACAGCTCGTGCCGGAGCTGAGACACCTGCGGAAAGCAGGGGGGGCGGGGGAGCGGCATTCACATCCCGAACCTGACCACGTCCCCAAGAGCGCTCAAATACTGACTGCTCGGGGACACCATTTTTAAAAACTCCTCATTTTGTGCTATGCAAAGAAAACAAAGGGCTGAGTTTGATCACACTTAAGAAAAATACAATGAATTACTTTTGGGGCAGAAATCCCTCTGCCTAAGTTTCTCATTTTTACATTGGCACAGAGAAGAGATGGGAGGGAACTAGAAGGTTCTAGAATGACGTTTTGGGGGGCACAAGACAGCATATGAGCTTTGCAAGTAGCCAGATGACCACTGGGGCAAACGGCCAGAGAAAAGGATCATGTTACCAAATACAAGACGAGGCCATTCGTTTTCGCTGAAACAAATGCCACCTGGCACCAGGGCCTTGGAGATGCCAGCTCTGGGTGGGCAGCTACTAGAAGCTTGTCCTGCTTGGAAAACCTTGCAGCTCTACCCTGTGACTGCTGCACCGTCACAGGGCTCCAGGCCAAGCTTGGCCACACTGTGCTCTGTAGCCAATAGTCTCGAGGTAGGAATTTCAGATACAGGAAGAAGAGGCCACTATCAGGAACTGATCCTACTGACTACTGCTCTGCTAGGACAGCTTTGCAAATCACAATGATTTACACCTAAGGTTTAAAACAAACAAACCTGGGCCATAAAATTTTTCCCCTGCCCTTCCGCCATTCCGTGAGGATGGACAGGGAGCCGGTGCTGTAGGCGAGAATTGCAATTCTGTTTGAATTCTTTCTTGTTTCTGATTTCATTTAGGGTCCGTGGTGCATTCCAGCTTTCCTACACACTACAGTGAATATATTATGACATCCATGGAGAAGCCAGTTTTATGTGCAGACAGGCTTTAGCCTCAACACCGAGACTGATAATTTAATGATGTGCCGAAGGGGAACACGTTACAGTTTTCAAATTCAAAGCTTTTCCAAGGTGGCGGGGGGAAGGCATTTCCACTCCCAAAGATAGGACGGTCTTTGTGTGAGGGGAGGAAACCCCAAGCAAAGCGGTAACATGAGGACGCAGCACATGAGAGGTGACAGGTGACCATTTACTGGTTCCTGGGTGGCATCTGCTCAGAAGGGGCTGAGAAGGGACTGGGCTGACCTGGCATGCTTTAAATACCTGAGAGAAGGGGATTCAGGCCATGATGGGAGGCGGGCAGAAAAAGCAGGGGTTAACTTTATTTCTCCCAGAACACACTCATATACCACCTTATCATCTTTTAAAGAAAGCCTGGGATTAAAACTTTTCATATAAAGTGGCAACTCCATTTCATCATCGTAAAGCTATTGTTAAACCCACACAGCAATAGCTGGGAACAGCTTGAAGGAGGAAAAGTTTGAAGACAGCTTAGGGACATGAATAAGGGCACCCCCTCCCACTAAGAAAGTTTCTGATAGAAAATGAGGGAGAAGAAATGAGAAGAAGGAAATCCAATGAAAGTCCTCACACTTCAAATTTCGCTGCTAAAAGAACAGGATGATGGAAAGAAGTTACCAAGTGGGGCCTGGCTCTAGGCCTGTCATCGTTGTTGTAGCAGCCCCGTGGGGCTCCCCAGAGCCTTTCTCTTCCTGCCCACACCCCAGCCCTTCCAGAAAACCAGTGCTGCTCCTCCCAAACCTCAGCCCCCCAAGGTAAGCCTTCAGCTTTCAGCCCCTCCTGTCATCACACACATCTAACACCCAAGATTCCTGTCATGAAAATAATGGGGTTTCTCTCAGGAAAACAACAAGGTTCTTTGTTTGGTTGTACAAACACAACATTATACCGTAATGATGACTGTGCAGTGGCTTACGCTGCCCGCCCGGGCTCAGGGAGCCCTGCTCACGGTTGGATCAGTCTGACTGCGCTTTTGCAAAGAGCTCAGTCATCTTTCTCAGCCCACGTGATGACCTGGACTCTTGGAAGACGGGGACTGTGGTTGGTCCAACACACCCAGGCCGGCCATGGGACACAACACTGTAGGCCTACTAAGTGCAGGCTTTATCCTGCCGCTGGCGATCCTGCCCACACTGGCGGAAGGAGACAGCGAGCAGGAGCTGCAGGCAGGCAGCGTTCTGTGTCCGGGCCTCTCCCAACGGGACCCTGTGGCATCCGCTTCTTTGCCCACACCTGTGGTGCCCCAGCCTTTGCGCCAGCTGCTCACCTCCTCCCTGATGTGCTCCACCTGCTCTTCCAGCAGCTCGTTCCTCTCGGTGAGGGTCTTGTTCTTCTTCAACAACGACTGGCCAATCCGAGCAGCCAATTCTAAATCCCGCTCTTTCTAAGAAAGGCAGAAGCGAGAGCAGAGATTCAAAAAATACCCGGGCTTCCCAAAGGAGCCAACAGTGCTCCGGGTCAACGGAGGAAAACAAGGACATTTAGAAATTACAAAAGAGATGAATAATTCACCACCGTCCGATCACCAGCATTTGATACCCATTCAAAGAGAGGGACGCCCTGACCTTGTGTGTGCAGAGGCGTTCACCAAAACCTCAAGCAGCGAAAGGGAGCCTTAAAAATCTAATGAAAATTAGTCTCTCTTCCACCAGGGAAAACCTGCTTCCAAGAACATTTCTCTGCAACTGGTTTTGGTATTTGTGTAGTCATTTGATCTCCTGTCTCTGCGCAGAGACCTAGGGCTGGGTATTGCATCGCCAGAGCCCAGCACATGGAAACAGTGGGTGACTATTTGCTGGATGAGTGAGTGAATCCAGACGTTTCAAAGTGTGTTTACAACAGCCGAGAGCTGACACAGGGACGCAGCCTGCAGCCTCCTTGGCACACATGAAGCTGGAATTCACCGAGTTCCTTATAGCTGCCTCCTCTGACACAGAAAATGTTTCAAGTTACTTTGAAATACAATAAATAACAGGCTTCTTTTACTTAACCGCAGGCTCCTTCGCCTTTATTTAAAACAAATACCTGTACTTTCAAAATGGAGAGAGAATGCACACAATAGCCCTACTTCAGAGATAAAGATGTGCTCAGGACACAGAATTTTCTGTTCAGCTGATGACATCACTTAGAACAGAGCAGGACACAGAGGAAAATCTTCAGGGGTGCAGAAAGGTACAGCTGCCTTTATGGGAGGGAAGATGTCCCCTGACAGGGGCAGCCGCCATCACCAAGTTGTTCATCATTTTTTAGGTGGGGGTTGGCAAGGGAAGGAGAACTCTGGAAAACGAAATTATTTTAGAAGCTTATGCTAATTATTCTGTTCACCTGGTATAAGAAGCAGACGAATGGGAACATGGAGCTATTAAGAAAAATAATATAAATGGAGCCACTTTAAAATGGAGCTGGAGCTGCCATGTCAAAAGAACTGCCTTACACATCTTATGCCTCAAACCTTTGGAATATTAAAACAGGGCACAATAACCTTTGGGCTGAGCCCAAAGCAACCTTGTGTCTCAAAGAACTGTTTGCAAGGATAACAAGAAAACAGATCGTATAACTACCAGAGTGAAGACGACCAGACTGAAAATTAAAAACATTCTTTAGAATAAACATCACCGTCTTAGTTGTTCTGCACCAATAGAAATGCCTTCCTTCTATTGTAATGGTTCCCCTTCCCTTTCTCATAAATATCCCTTGCCTTCGTCTCCTAATTGGAACATCATTGGGGCTTTTGTCTGAATCAATGCTTCCCAAATAGCTATTCTTCTTTTAATCTCAAATAAACGCTTGTTGCCTCTCATTTTGAAAGGCCTTTTATTTTTAGGCTAACATAATTAAAAGCAAAAAAAAAAAAAAAAGCTGGAGAGGAGTCCTAGCTTCTGATGAACTATTAATAACTACGAGGCTTGGGTCAATGGCTTCCGCTTAAGAAGGATCTGGTACACTCTAGATGAGTTTCTTCCAAAGGCAGGTTATAACCCATTAGCAGGCTGAGAATCACTTTAGTAAGGGCAGCTGACATTTTGGTTTACATGAAATTCTACAGCACAGAACTGAAATACCAAAGAGCGTTCCACGTGACAAGGGTACTGTTTCTCAGTTAAACTGTCATTTGTCATACATTTACTTATGTGAGTGTTGAGTCGCAGCCTAAGATGCATTTCTTACAGCGGGTACTGGTCCAAAGTTTAAGTGCTCCAGGTGAACCATTGTCCCGCTCTGAAACTGGGAGAGTTCGGGGTAAGACTTAACACCGCTGGGCCTGGTTCCCTCGTCTGCTAGATGAAGTAGGGTGGGGGGGTCAGACGAGCTGAGATACCCTTGAAAAAAATCTTCTAGCTTTATGATTCATTGGCTTCTATGATTAAAAATTATTTTTTTAAAAATCAACCAACCAAACAACGCCCCCCCCCACCACCACCATAGACACCATCCACCACCACCATAGATAGCTTTTATTTCTAACTTCCCTGCAATAGCAGCTCCCCGTCCCTTTGCTTATCACAGGAGTTTCACTGAATTATTGGAGGTCAAAGTACACTTTGGGAAGACTCTGGATTTACCAGGGATTTGGCTCTCCCTTGTGCACAGATGATGGTCTCTCTCCCCTAGGTTGTCGACAGTGATAAAATCTGCAGTCACCACTGTCCCAGAGGCCAGCCAGGTGTCACGTCAAGTAAGCCATAAAATACCACCAGCCCATTCCCACAATTTGTGCTTATTTGGTTCCTGGAAGAACTTGCACACCTACCTCTCCAGGGACCGACACACACTCAGCATCTAGTCCAAGTGGCTTCAGCTGGCTAACACTCAGAACTGCAACACCAACATCCACTGCCCTTTGGAAGTGTGGTCTCCACCATGCTCGTGTAAGTCTACTAAATTTCTTTACTAGAACAAGTGTTCAGACTCAGTACCCCACAGGGGCTTAAGGCCCATCAGCTTGCTGCCTCGCTGTTCTGTGTTGCCATCATGCAACTATGGAGGTTAAAAATGAGTCACCCCAAGATGTGCCTCTGCGGTATACAGATTGTGTTGCGCTAAAGGCAAAGTTAGTGTTAGCGGAGGGCTCGAGAGAAACTTCTGCCCCTCCCTTAACTGCCTAGAAGAACTTGAAGAGATTATCAGAGATAGACTCTTTTCTTTTTTTTATAAATTTTATTGGGGAACAGCCATGGTCATTGGTTACACATTGCTTTCATGCTACAATGGCATAGTTGACTCTTTTAAGGAGGGAACAGCTCAGTGGCCCATGCGGGGATCAAACCGACAACCTTGGTGTTATCAGCAGCATGCTCTAACCAACTGAGCTAACTGGTCACCCCCAGAGATTGTCTCTTTTGACCTATCTAAAGGGCAGCACAAGCTTCTATTTACTAAGCATCTGCTCTTATCATTCTCCAGTGACCCATTGAAGCCCCCAGCACACCTTACCTCACCCCTAGCTCAGAATATCTTATATACCCACGTTCCCTTTCTATCTCTGAACCTCTTGTGCATGTGGGGTCTCTGAATCTGTCATTTATGTGGTGTTCCCCTACGTATGTGCATATTATTAAAGTCGTTTATTTTCTCTTGCTAATCTGCCTCATGTCTATCTGATTAGTAGACCCGCCAAAAAAACCTTGAGGGTAGAGCAAAGTTTGTTCCCCCCACATCCAGGCAGCTGAGTTCCAACAGGCAGTCATTTGCAATGCCTTAGCCACATTTTGTGTGCAGGTTCCACTGCAGACAAGTCAAACAAATATTATAACAATGAGGACCAGCTGGGAAAGGCACTGCTAGGGCACATGAAGGATGTTGAAGGCTGCCCACTGCACACAGAGGCCAGAACCCAATAGGAACGGGAACTAGGAAGGGGATGAAAACCAGTGCAGTGGGTGCACTCAACAACCCAGCCCGTCACCTCTCCCCATTACACCCCAAACCTCACCCCTCTGCCCCACTGATGGGGAGCTCTCACCTCGTCTACACTGAAAATCTAATCTTTACAGTAACATAAAGAAAATTGTCTGCTGGGGGTGGGGAGAGCAAGACATTAGAGTAAAAATACTTAGGGGTGAAATGAAAAAACTAAACAGAAAAGTTATCGTAGTGTCTCTGTTGTTTCTTTACTACGTGATTGGCAGGTTAGGTTTCTCTTGAAGAATGAAAAAAATGAAAAAACTCCCATTTCTTACCACCAGCCAACATCTGATAAATGTTTACTTCTAAAACCAGGAAAACAGCCAGGAAATGACCACTGGATTAAACTACAGTGAGAATAAAAGACTAGAAATAAATAATTTAGGGTCTTGGAAATAAGCTATTAAAAGAACTGGCTCTTTTATTCCCCGGGAAAATGTGGCCCGGTGGAACTCAATTCTAACCCTGCTCAACTCCTCTTTGCCGACATGCTCTGTTTAAAAAGGCTGTAACTTGTGTCTTAGCCCTTTACCAATGAACCCTTGTGCTGCTGACACAACCCCAGGAGCTGGAGAGCTGCCTGCCTCCCGCACTTAGCAGCTGACTCATCTCATTCACCAGTTTCAGGATAAAAAGTGTGACTAAAGGGCCCTCAGAATAACCCTCGCCGTAACTGGGGAAGAGGCAAGCTCTGTCCAAAGGTAAACTCCGAACGGCAGCAAGCCTGGGCCAGTTGCTGAATCCTCTTCCCCCTAAACCCAGAAGCAAACTCCCCACTGGCCATCCTAGGCAAATCCCTCCAGCACCCCACCTGCATGTGGCAGGCGTGCAAAGCAAAGGATCATGATCAGAGGAAACGAAAACAAAGCCAAGAAAAGCATAATATGGTACAACTGTCACATGACTGGGGCAGTTAGATGTTAACCAGGAAACCCGCCTCTTTCCAAAGAAAGGCGTGACTCAGTTGTGATTCTCATCAGGACAAGAAGAAGAATGGCATATGCAAGAACACAGACACATGCCGACTGTTGCCATGATGAGTCACTAACAATAAAACAAGGCACAACAGAGCCACCTGAAAAACTACCCCATAAGTATTCTTTGCAGTAACTCAATTTTTCAAAAAAGACAAGATTATACTCTTTAGACAGTGACATTCATTTAGGAAACTGGCTGGTGGGAAGTGAACTATTTTTAACCAATATCTGCAAAAAGGGCTAGAATCCCAGGCTGCTTTGCAAGCGATCCTCGCACGTCCAAGTGCAGCCGGACTTGCCTGCAGAGGTAGCACTCAGCGCGGCCAGCTCAAACTCAGTGGGAGCCAAGAATGTGGGCAGTGGGCACTTACAGAGGCAGCATCCCATAAACAATTTTACCCGGTTCATGTTTTTAAAGCGAAAATGTCCCACTGACAACCAACTAACCATACTCTCCAAAACTAAATGCACAGAACAATAAACACGACAGCCAAAAGGACCAGAGTCACACGCGCGGCAATCAGGGGACCTGGCTGGAAAGCAGCTGTGCCTTGGGTGTCTTCTGTCCTTTCAGATTCAGGTCCCTTAGCTGCAGAATGGGGAAACGGTGGCACCTACTTCTGAGATGACACATGGGCAACACACAGCTCTCAGTAAAATTTCAGCCTTAATAATAAGGATGACAACAGAGGCAGAAAACGATCAAAGGCCTATCATTTCCAAGATTAAAAGGGAGAAGGAAATCATCCCCCGCCTTGGTTTCTAACCAATCCAGTTGGATGAATGAAAACAGAACTTCAGGATGAATTCTGTGCTCAGGGCTTGGTGGGGGCACCACCTGGGGCTGTGGTGATGGTGACAGCTTCAAAGGTCTCTGGTGAGCCCTGGAGCACAATACTCAAAGCCAGAACAAGACAGGGGTGACCAAATGGTGCACAAGGTGAAAAGGGGGAGAGCGGGAGGCAGGTCCCTGGGGATGAAGAAGAGGCGGTTTCAAAACGTGATCAAGTATGTGTGGCTCTGAATGCCACACGGAGGAGTTCTAAGTGTCAGGAAAAGAGCAAGGGGTTACAGGGGGCTTGGAACAGGGGCAGCTGCAGAAAGATTAGAGAAATTAAACTCACTGCTGAGGATTCAGGAGCTGGAGTGGTGGCCTTGAAGTAAAAAGAAAGGTATAAAAATAAGACCCCTCAGAAGATTAACTGGGAAGGGGGTGAGGAGTGGGTGCTGCAAGATCCGGGAAGCAGTGGCTTTCTTGGGGGTAATGGACACAGCAGGAAGGAGTCCATAATACACCATTTTAAAAGGTCGGTGGGGGGGCGGCCAGGTGCCTCAGTTGGTAAGAGCACATGCTTAGGAGCAACAGGGTTGCCAGTTCGATTCCCACATGGATCAGGGAGCTGCGCCCTCCACAACTAGATTGAAGACAACGACTGGACTTGGAGCTGAGCTGTGCCCTCCATAACTAAGATCGATGGACAACAACTTGACTTGGAGCTGATGGGTCCTGGGAAAAAAACACATTGTTCCCCGAAAAAACACACTGTTCCCCAATAAAGTTTAACATAAAAAAGTCGGTGGTGGTGCCAACCAAGCCAGCTTCCTACCATGGCTAACGCCAGCTGCCAAGATGGTGGCAACTACAGAGCCACGAGGGGCCTGTGCCCTAAAATGCCTCACCAACGGTCCTGTCACAGCCAAAAAACCTAATATCACTTATTTGGGGCTGAAGAGCTTATAACTTCTATGACATGCAGGTGGGTAAGCAGGTTTCAGCTCCTGGCCCCACTCAATTCAACTGGGTCTATTAGTGGGTGACCATCAGGAGAGTAGGAGGGGCGTGGCCTGCAGGGCAGGAGAGCCCTCAGGAACTCAGAGGGAACTGGAAGGCTCCAGCCCTCAGAGCGGGTGTAAGAATGCTTGCTGAACAGATACAAAGATAGAAAGAGATACAAAAAAATGGGGTAAAAAGATGCCCCCCAAAAAACTCTGGTCCTACCGTTCCTGCTAGGTCCTGTGTTTCAACCTTACACTACCACTGGCTGAAATGACAACAATGATCTCTGCGTCTCGCACATCCTTCTATTGTTTTCCTGGAGAAGGGCTAATGTATGGTCACATGACCCCAAATCATTCGCGATCCTAGAACAGAAACAAAGGTCTAAAACTTAGCACCTGTGCATTGAAGGCCTGCTTTGGGGAGACAGGGGGAGATAATGTTCAAAGGTGGGCGCTTATTCAATAAATACTTACTAAGAACCCACCGTGTTCTGACTTGTTCTAGGCATGGAGATATACATATCATACTCCTCTGTTTCTAGAGGCCTTCAGCCTCTATAATTCTCAATCGCCAACAGAGCGCTGAGAAGAACTTGACAAAACCATGGTCTCTAAAATACCAGCAGCGCATCTAATCCTAAGCAAGTTTCCTAAGGTTTTCTTGCCATGCTTATTTTGGTTATTGCCATGCTGACACTACATAATAATATCTCCTTAAACCGATGTAAGTTAAACAAACAAACAAACAAATCTCCCCAAAACCCCAAAACATTACAGATATGGGTAAAGATGTATTTTCCTGATATTTTTTAAATACACTTAAAATATATCCTAACACGATGTTTTTTTAAGTTTTTATTTTTTAAATCTTAACACTGGGCATTCTAGCAAGTAGTTCAATGCTACTCGATTCTGTCATTAATACCTTATGCAAAGGTACAGCTACGAAGACCAACATAGCTACCAGTTCGAAAAGTAAAGCCACTGAATTGTACCCCAAGAGGGCCAAAGCTCTGAGATTCTTCACTGAGATAGACAATAATGTATGCTCCAATCAATATACATTATAATCGGTCAATTCTAATTGGCCCTTCCCGGAAACACTTACCTCCTCAAGAAGGCGCGTGACAGCATCAATGTCATTATATGTCTTAGTCATCTGGCCAACTCTTTCAGCACATAGAACTGCAAGAAATAAAAGTGACCATGAAACCACCAATGCCACAAACCCGCCAAACAAATGACCCCTCTAACAAAGCAGCCCCCATGCTGCACCTGTGTGTTAGGCTCAAGGGTTGTTGCTTTTGCTGAGTCCAACCCACCCTGGATTCAGCACAAGTTCCAGGGAAGAGTTCCAAGTTTGAGGGGGGTGTAGGAGTTGGAGTGACTGCTAATCCCTGCAAAGCCTTGACACTGTGTGTTTGACATACCTAGAGGTGGGGCTGCGAGTAAGGATATAGAGTGGAAAGGGGTCTGACCTCATGTAAGTTCAGCCAACTGAAACGGGTCAGCAGCACAGACACACAAATTATCAGACACCTACAGGATCTAACCATAGAGACCCAACCATGTGGACAGAGTGGGATCCTTCAGACAGCCGCCATTGGTAGAATTATTAAGCAACAGTCTTAGCTGATAATTTCATAATGGCACAGCACCCCACCCCTCCCCAAATGGCCTAAATGCTAAGGCTATGCAACCAGTTTCCATACCATGAAAACTAGGGTGATAGATTTTTTTTTATTTTTTATCCATACCAAAAAGGCTACTACTATTCCTGCTACGCACATATACACATGAACAATAGTTCATGACATATATAATTTACTGTGCTCATAAGAGGCTGCATGCCTGCCATTTTAAGACTATGTGTCTTTGTTCTCCGTTCCGCTGGAGAAAAATCATGTGTAATGAAGGAAGACTTTAGTCTGCGGAAAAATCTCAGGGCTGTTTTATTTTAAATCAATGGCAAGGAATTGATTTGCAGGTCAACTAACACCAAGAAGGTATAGCATGGGTCTTATTCTTTGAGGAAGGAATGAATGCAAATGGATTTAGGGCCAAAGTGTAAAATTTTTTGAAATCTGACACTTTAGGGCTAAATAGTAATTTCTTAGTAACTCTTCTTAACTATGACTCTAGAGAATATTTCTTTAAGAGTCAAAGGCTGAGTTCAGCTTTGGCAATGACCCACATTCTGTTACAGCCCACGCAAGGCGTCTGGGAACTGAAGTGTATTCCTAAGCCAAACTCAGCAGCATTACTAACGGCTAGAGCTGCAAGTGGAATGCAATAGGTCTCTAAATATTTTATGAAACTCAAGTAGAGATCATCCTAGTGAAGGAACTCAGAGAAATCTGATCTGCTGGAATGATTTTCTAGCTTAAGAAGGTGACCTGAAATCTGGTTCCAAATCTGAAACCCAACCGATCCAGGGGCCTGGAGCCAGGAAAGGGGGCTGCTCTTCCAGGGCTCTCCCCACCCGGCACTTCAAGGCAGGAGCCCGCCTGCCTGCTGAAGGGAAGTGAAGGGCCTCAGGCACTTTCCTTCCCCTCACCTCCCACAGAGCTGCTAGGTCGGGGAAGGCAAGGGGGATTTATAAGGGTTGGTTTAAACCAAAATTCAATTTGATAGAGATGGAGTCCAGCTCAAATTGCTTTAAATAGTTCATCAGCTCCAGGTCACAAAGAAATCCTTAAGTGGAGATTCCTACGCAGTAGACAGGAGTTAGATTGCATGCTGTGCCACTGCCATGTTCGGCAACAAAGCAGATAAAGACACTGGAGCCCTCCAGCCAGCTCGCCTGTAGGAAAGCATCAGCACACCCCTTTCATCCACCAGAAACGGACCACAGCAGTTACAAAAGGCCTCTGTGTTGAAACCTGTGTTGTAACTGAGGACCTGCTAATGCCCACCAAGCTCTCCAAAGACCAGCTCCTCTGCTGTGCTGGAAAAAAATGGAAACTGGGCTACATTTTAACTCATCTGGTATTTTGTCACCCTAGAATAAGAGAACAAGATTTGGAGCTGCTTCTTTTCTCTGGAATTGTATTAATCAGAAATTATACATACGTTTTTTAAGCTAATTTTTTTAGGGGGTCAGGGAGGTGGTAGAAAAAGGTAAAGGGGTCAAATATATGGTGACGGAAGGAGAACTGACTTTGGGTGGTGAATAATTTTATTAACCAATGTTACCTCAATAAATTTAATTTTTTTAAAAGCTAATTTTTGATATAAGAAATTATACAGGGGTCCCTTATACCCTTTACCCAGTTCCCCCCAGCGGTGACATTTTGCAAAATTTTATCACCACCAGGGTTGTGATTTTATCACAACTGACATTGATACAGTCCATGAATCTTACTGAGTTTTACTGGTACATGTTTGTATGTGCATGTGTGTTCACGCACATGTGAATATTAAACCCTATAGAATTTTATCTTCTATGTAGGTTCGTGTATACACCACCATAAGGATCCCTTTTATAAAGCTAATTATAAAAAGCCTTAATATATTTTAACAATTGAGCCCCCAAAATGTACACTTGGGCCAGTGGGTTTTTCCAGCATCGATCAGTCAGGCACATATGATCACGACACACACAGTGACTGGAGGCTAAGTGTGCCCTTTCACATTCAATTAGGGGTTCAGGGTGATGTAGGGACCCCCTGGAAGTCCCGAGGCCTTTGACAGAGACTTGCTGCGGAAGTCAGAGGCATATATGAAAACCTACTGTTGACTGTGAGCTATGGAAGTGTGTACATTATTATTCCAGGTATGTTTTTAAAAATACATATAATCCCCAAATTAGGATAGCCATACAAATATTGACATTTGGATTAAAGTACATTTTAATTCTTTTTGTCCTTTAAAAAAACTTTTTTTGAAGTGACCATGCACTAATGGGGGAAAAATTACTTAAAATATTTTTCTAGAAAATATACAATCTATAGTATAAGGTCCCGGGATCCTCGCTGAGGTTACTTTTAAGAGAAATTAGTAACAGCAGCAGCAAATCCTTACAGAGCACACTGACTCTGGACAGGATTATTCACAGCCATCTAAATGGATTATCTCATTTAATCCTCAAAGCAACACTTCAGGATAGGGTGCTTACATTAATCCCATTTTAAAAATGGGAAAGTGAGGCCCAGAGAGGTCAAATAACTCGTCCAGTGTCACAAGCTAGTCCAATGTCACAAGCTAGCAAGTGGCAAACATCAAAATAAGAAGCGACTCGCAGCAGGGGCAGCGGGCGAACATTTATAGAGTCCCCGCTGTGTCTGCAGGTTTAATGGGCTTCTCAGTTAACTCTCAGGAACAAACCCTGCAGGGTACCCGCTGTTATGAGGATGATTCCATAGACAGAAACCTCAGGCTCTGAGAAGTGAAGGACCCGACCAAGGTCACAGGGAACAGGCTGCATGGCAGGGACTGAACCAGGCCAGTCTGGCTCCTGTGCTAAACTAGGGAGCCATCAAGGACAGAGGGTAAGGCCGAGGCCAGCACCAATCAACAATGTTCAGGGCGCGTAAACAGAGGACGAAGGACCTGTGGTGTGGGGTAAACAAAGACCTCTGACCCTGGGACTCAGAGGCTTAGGTTTTCATAGGAGACTCTCCGAGGCCAGGAGGCTCTGGGCAAGCCCTGTAATTGCGTCTCGGGTTTTCTCTTCCAAGAGGTGAGAGGGCAGGGTTGATACCAATGAGGGTGGGGAAATAACAAAGGATGCCTTTAAACCGTAAGACAAGTACAGGCTGCATTTTCTAAGCACCAACGTTCTAGATACTCAATCTACAATAAACCGTGGTCAAGCTTCTCTCTCCATGGGAACCGTACTCCAATGGAGGTTCCATTTCTGACCAAGGGTGCTCTACCAAATAAATCCACTTCCATCCAAAAAGGTGTCGTCCCCCCCCACCCCAGAAAGTAAAAGAACAGACAAGCCTCTATAATAACTCAACATGTGAAAACTAGGGTCCAAGTCCTAGAAGAAGTACAACACACCTACAGTAGCTAAGCAGATATACAGGACACAGAGCACACGTGCAGCAGGATCCAACGAACATCAAACAACATTCGTCACCAAGCACCAGGCTCTGTGCTGAACAACACGGGAGACCCCCACCCTCCCGGGGCGCAGAGAAAGCAGGCAGCCCACGTGCCTGTCAGGGCACCCCTGGCCCAGGCTATAGGAGGCTTGCCCAGACCCTCTAAGGAGTTTAGACTTCTGTCATGGGGCAGTGGGAAGTCACTGGAGGATTTTTCAAAGGGGAGCGTCCATATGAGAGTTGTGTTCCAGAAAACACCCAGGCTACAGAGCAGGGAATTCGGGGGATGGGTGATCAGCATCAAGGCTGTGGATGACTCCAAGGTTCTCCTGGGTGGCAGTGGGGATCGGGGAGAAGGGATCTCTTTTCTTGGGAGAGATAAGAGATAAGACTCAGTGGGGGGTAAATCAAAAAAGTATAGGATCTGGGCTTCCGGCTGGTACAGAGGGACCAAAAGCACGCCACTTCCTGGGCCTGGCGTCCCTCTGTGAGACAGGCACGTGACGCCAAAGGTCAGAAACAAGATGGGCTGTCCCAGCGCAATCACTGGCATGGGGACAGCCATTGAGGTCACTGTGGAGCAACATGACAGGCAGAGGGCTATCCACACCACAGCAGCAGGAGGCCCATCTGGCAGGGAGGCCCTGTCCAGGGCTGAAGGCGCTAAATCTTGGTTTGGAGGAATCCACTTTGAGATGAGAAGAGAATCAAGTGCTCACTCTTGGGACGGCAGGTGGAATCATGAGTGGCCCTAGGCTGGCTGACCAGGGAAATGGAGACCTGTGATTGGCTGTCACAGCTCCTGGGGGTGGGGGGAGGCTTTCATCTGAAAATCAGTCATGCAACTTTTATGCGAATTAAACTGTACCCCAAACAATTTTGAGTATAAATGCTGGCATCCATTTTCCAGCTCCTGTTCAGACACAAGATGCCAGCCACGCAATCTGAAATATCTATGGTGTGCAGGCCCTGAACAGAAAAGAGTTCGGCCAGTGGGAAGCTCAGGGGTAACTGGAACTGAGGCCTGAGGGAAACGCCCACAGAAAGGAAAACAATGGGGGCGGGGCGTCCAAATGAGCCCTCAGGCAGGGGCTGCTGCAGGGTTCAGGTGGCAGCTGGGGTGGGGTGTCAAAG